CTAGCCCAGAGACAAGTTGCTTGATTTATCAGGGCCTCCATTTAATCGGCCCAAAAATCCACCAAGTAACCGTTTCCCGTCGACAATTTTCGGGAACTTCCGCGAAAAATGGAACGCGCTGCCTTGGTTCCATGGATCGAACGCAAGAGTTCGAAACCGATTGACTTCAAATTTGACGATTTTTGAATGGTCAGAACCTTGTATTCAATTCCTCTTTTTGTATATACTTGAATGTTATCATAACACTTATTATATCGCATGTGGTAGCCACATTCATACAGTTTCTCATACCAACGGAAACGAATTTTATGACATTACGCGAAATGTATCAATATGTAGCGGAAACTCAGGATGACCTGCAGTTCGACTGATTCAGCGCGTTCGTGGTTAACCACGTGACTCGTCCTCGGCTCTGGTCGGAAGAAGTCGGAAGTGTTCGCGAGCGCTCGGAAATTTCAAAAATGGCCGACACCACTGCCGGTGGCGGGAGGCACATAGTTTTTCACGGCGTTCGTACGGCAAAGCGGCATCGAATTTTTGCTCCATGACTATCGGTATGGGATAGGATAGGGTTGATTCAACATACTGCGTGAAAATGTGACAAAAAGACAGACTTTTGAAATTTAATGCTCCCAGCCTACTATCGGCCAGATATCGCTTAGGGCACCTTTAAACTTAAAGACATACCGGTATTAGATCACAATGGATACTCCTCTTTGTGGCATTCCGAATCAACATTGTGACCCTGAACATGTTGGGGGAAATGCTGAGAAAGACTCTGACTTACAGATATACACATGTCTTCTTCAGTTTACACTGTAAGAGAGAAGTCAAACCCTTCAGACATAGTTTTAGACATAGCTATAATTTTAGACAAATACCTTTCATTTGTAGATTTTAGTTATTTTATATATACTGCTCTTCTTTTATGCTTGTAACTGGCAATTAGCCTCCGGGGCCGGGGCATGAACAGGAATATGAATCAGCATGTGTCTGCTCAGTTGTGAATCTGTTCAATTTCCACAATGTCGCCAGGGTTTCCTGGAATTTCACTTCGTAGGAAAGTGGTCCAGAATGTAGGACATACACTTGAAAGGCATGTGGGGAATCCTGGAATGTGGACCAGAATGTCAGAATGTAGGACATTTGAAAGGCATGTGGAGAATCCTGGAATGTGGACCAGAATGTCAGAATGTAGGACATACACTTGAAAGGCATGTGGGAAAGGAATGTGGGTATGATTGTAGGTATGTGAGGAAAGCAGACTGATTGTCGGCTGAGAAGAGAGATCACTTTGGCTTGGTTTGAGGCAGTCATCACAGGGAGGTACAGATTTGCGGCCTGAGTTCAGAGATTATAAGCCTGGTAACCAGTCTCAGCGGGTCAGCTTAGGTGTTTTCCGATCCCATCAGGGAAACACCGGCGGTCCTGTTTCACCACTACAAGGGCTTAAGTTTTCAGTTCTGTGTGGTTGTCCAAATGGGGACCTTCCACGTGCTTCTTACGGCCTGGCAATCCTTAGAAGGTAATACAACATCCAATGTATTTATGAATAAAAAGATCCCTATAGGACACCTGTGTCGATCGTAAAAAGTAAAAATCTTCCTCTGTTGTTGGAACTGTGATAGATTTGTGTGATTTTAATTTTAGGTGAAACGTAAGTCTGTTATAAAGGACTATTAAATGTACAGGAAATAATCTGCCATTGAGAATGATTACCCGGGGAATAATTGTCCTATAACAAAATTGATCTAGTCGAAGGATTTGGTTATGCTTACCTAACGTTAACAACCTATCAAGTTGAACGTCAATATCTGATGTCCACAAGAAATATTATATTAAACTACATATGAGACCTCACCTATCGAAAATGTACACAACCAATTCTGTAAAAATGTTCTTGGTGTATTTAGAAATAGTAAGCAATGTCGCCTGTAGAGCAGAATTAGGTAGACTTCCTTTAGATACAGATATTTGTATATAGATATACTAGTAGTTAAATTCTGGTTATGCTTGGTCCAAATGGACACAACCTCACACTCCCTTCAAACGGATGCTCTCTCTTACAGCAAAGCCTACAAATACCCGTAGACAAACTTTATTGCAACGTGTTAAAGACATACCGGTATTAGATCATAATGGATACTCCTCTTTGTGGCATTCTGATAACTCACATTGTGACCCTGAACATGTTGGGGAAATGCTGAGAAGGAGACTTACAGATATAACGTTACACGTGTCTTCTACAGTTATAAAAGAGAAGTCAAACCCTTTAGACATAGTTTTAGACTTAGACGTAGCTATAATTTTAGACAACTACCTTTCATTATGTGGATTTTAGTTATTTTATATACTGTTCTTCAATGTTCTTTTATGTTTGTAACTGGCAATTAACCTCCGGGCATGAATTTGCAATAAACTTCTCAATTATTATAAAGAGAAAGCTATAGTACCTGTTCAAATGCAGCAGAGTTGAAGACTGTCGATGATACGTAGGGGAAGATGTTCTACACTAATTCAGAAAACTCACTTACTGCTTACATCATTAACATCATGGGAGCTATAGCTATATGGGCTAGATAATGTTGCATGGGAGTGGACAGGGATGTAAATCAGCATGTGTCTGCTCAGTTGTGAATCTGTACAATTTCCATAATGTCCCAAGGGTTTCCTGGAATTTCACTACGTAGGAATGTGGGCATAGATGTGTGTCAGCAAAATCCCAGACATGCCTGTAGACATTCCATTCCTGTGGAAAAAAATGACCTGTGCAATTCCTAGAATTCTTGCAAACTGCACACAATACTGT